AAGTTTTCTCTAGGTTGCGAATTCCATGAGAGCTTGTCATCAAGTATAACTCCTGCTTGAAAAAATGGTTTTAGTAATTTGTGCCTTTTCTTTTTCCTGGATAAAATGACTATGCAGGTCTTCTTGGGGTTTACGTTTAACCCATGGTTACTGCATCAATAGGCGATTATATTCTGAGAATAGTGTCTGCAAACTTACCTCTAATTAGAAAGGCAATGTCATCCGCATAACCCTGAACATCGAAACCATTTTCACGAAGAAGGCAAAGTAGTTCATCTGCTACGATGGACCACAGCAGAAGGGAGATTCATCCCCCTGCGGCCAATATTTCTTAGCTAAGTATATGACTTAAAAATGCTTCCTATCCAGCGGAACGTGGTGTCATCAAATCCTTTGGGCCGGACGCAGTTGTCGATTTAAGAGTGTTCCGCGTTATTGAAAGCGGCCTCCACGTCCAAGACACATCCCCCCTCCACCTCTTTGTCCTACAAAGACCTCTAAATGCTCTTTTTTAGATTCTGAAGAGAGTGGAATATATGCGTATTGATTGGGAAGGGTTCCGGTAAGGAAACCGTTGTGCCTGTTTTCGATTCTGTCCGTTCCTTTTAGTAGAAAGGGCGTAAGACTAATGGGTCTGACTTTGGTTGGTCTGGTGGTTTTCTCCCCACCTTTGAGCGGTCCGTCACTTCCTGCTTTCGCAGGGAACGGACCCACACGCAAACCATGCTCTGAAAAAGTTTTTCCAAATTATTGTTGCTTTTCCACAATAAATGTTTTTATTATTTCAAACGGCCTCAAGCTCAATAAAAATTGTTGAATATAGTTTTTACATAACCATAAATTTATGCCAGGCTTTTAAATTACTTCAATTTAATACTTAAAATTCAAATTTAAAAATTCACAACCTTTTAATTTACCTAAAATTTGTGTAAATTTATTAACTAATTTATTTTATTTTAATTATGTAAAAAATATGTTCAGTATTTCCCTTTTATAGTTTTTACATTACTAGAAATTTATGTCCGGCTTTTAAATTACTGCAACTTAGTACTTAATACTAAAATTAAAAAAAATGCAACCTTTTAATTGGCCTAAAATTTGTTTACTTGTAAATTAAAAATTTATGCATTTCAATATTTCATGTGAAATTGGTAGATAATAATAAAGAATACATTTGTTTGTCAAAGAATTGAAGGAAAGTTCAGTGGTATGAGAGGTGGCTATGGGCCAATTACTTACTAAATACTACGTATGGAAAGAAAATAAATGAATCCATAGGAAATAAACGAATTTAAAAAATGTATGGATTATTCCATGAGTTTTTACTGCTACTTATTTAAAATTTACGGCTTAATCAATCAGTAGTCAATACACCAAATTAACGTAATATACATAGAAGAAGCAATAGTCAAGGCTGTTTCCTATACCAACACCAATAGGCTCACACAATGCAGAATAAGTTGGAAAATAAGCTTCGAGTAATAGCTTAAGCGATTACACCTCGCTCATCCCCTCGTCTCTCAAGTATACCAAGGGTACGGGACTACTCGGGAGACTACGTCTAAATAGGGCGGATAGTGGTGATGGTAGATAGCCAGTACGACTTTGTGGAATTGCCAGTCGAAGTGCAATCGACTTTTCCTGTTTTTTTAAGGCGGCCTTCTCGAGTCTTCAGCTCTTACAGATCCACAGTTCACCAGTTCGGGCGACTTTTGATCGCACTGTCAGCTGCTGGTGTGAGTTTAAACACCACACAAACGATATTGCTTCTAGTATTTAATTAATTTATGTCGGTCTTCCGTTGTCTCACCTCAGATGTAGTCTTCGTAGCATTAGTGGAAGTGGTTTCACCTCGTCATCGTACCAGATATGCTGATATCTTCAAGAATTTCTATCACCGCCCTCCGCGCAAATCGTCCTAACACTGGGAACATCACAACTACTTAGCCACAGATTTGGATCTGGAACACATCAGCCCCACCTCGCTCAAGATGAATAAGGATGCCGCCTTAGGGTACTACAGGCTTATTTCTAGGACATTCATCTTCCAGCCACGCCAGTTTGACGTTTTTGCCTACTGTGGTTAAGAAATTCTTCTTCTTCATATAGTAATCCGACATTTTGATCCATGACCGCTGGTATTGGACGACTACATAGATCTTGCTGAATACTTTTTCGAAGCCATAGGCATAGCCTTCTAGCACTCAGCCAAGGGCCGAAGAACTCCACAATAAGCAGTATCAACGCTTGCCGATACGGTTCGTCGATCCTGTCTAGACTTGCAACTTTAAAGTAGGGTGCGGATAGCTGCGGGTCACAGTAACGGATAATATTATCGATCCCTTCTGGTGCGGAGGGTTCTGAGAGGAGTCACAGGCGCAGAGCGGCATCTAGCTTGACATGCCTCCAAACCTCTACGACCAGAGAAACTGATGCCTTATACGTAGACGCTGACCGCTGGCCTTAGCGCATACAACTTTTTTGTTTATGCCGTGATATTAGTCGGCAACATCACATTTTGGAGGTGGGCCAGAGCTTTCTCTGACTAAGTTCAAAGATGCAGAGGGGATGGCTGTAGCCACACACGTTCCCCTCCCCCTATGGTCTTCATAATACCTCTTTGATCCACTTGAGCGTTTTAGCATGTTTTTCAACTTGCTGGGATACATTGTGACCGCCATAGTGTTTCAAATTGTTCTAAGGCCCTGAATGGCTTTCCCATTTGCTGGTACTGGCGATTTCGTCTAGCACCCTCATATGCTCAATTTACACTGTGCTTGTGGGGTAGTGTATTTGGTGGGTTTCTTTAACGTGGTTTTCCCGGTAGGCCTACTCCATGACTTATCCAAGTCCTGTTTAACTAAATAATATTGCACAAAATAAAAATAGTGCCACCAAATATTTTTTGAGATATAGCTAAACTAAGGTTTTTAACAGATATTTTCCAAACGGGTTAGTAGTTTAGGAGCTAATCATTGATTCATCGACAATTTTGCATAATAAAAAAAATAAAAAAGGTACTTTCGGCAAAAATATCAACATGAACCTGTTAACTTCTAGTACTTCAAAGATATGATCTTTCATTAATGCAATAGGGCCCTGCTTATCTAAATTTAATAATACTTGTGGAAGTTATGAGCACTTACGTAGAGATACTTATAAAAAGTTTCTATAAAATTTTATGATTTGCATATTATGGAGTACACACCTTTTATTACAATTTTGAAAATTAAGAAAAAAGTGTTATAACAACTTTTATAGAAAATTGTATGATCTACAATTTCGTCTCACATATTTTTATGATAAACCTTACCATATTACTGAAAAATGCAAAAAATTAATTTATGTGACCTTTAACCGTGAATGCATTTTTGGCAGATGTGGGATCCATGGGGACTTTTGACATTCCATTCATAATAGCGTTCGCAAAATTCGTACCAATGAATTATTGTAAGCCTACCCCTATTTTTATGCCCGAGCGCACTTGTGCACAGGGATATATTAACTTTGTTTACATAACGGTTGTTTGTAACAGCCAAAACGAATCAAGAAAGATATAGACAAATGTACACATAAATGATCAGAATGAAAAGAAAAATCGATTAAGCGGTGACTGTCTGTCCGTCCGTCCGTCCGCCCATGTACACGATAACTCGAGCAAAAATTGAGATATCTCAACGAAATTTGGTATGTAGGTTTCCGTTTATCCAAGGTAGGTTGGTATTGAAATGGGCGAAATCGGACGCCCGTGTAACCACGCCCACTTCACATATAACGGTAATTTTCAGAAATACGAAAACTGCGATATTTTCGTAACTACAGAAGATTATTCACTCAAAATTGATGTTTAAACTAAATTTTAGACGAAAAATAAGAATATTATTAATTCTTGAAAAATGGGCGTAGCCACGTAACCGCTGCACCAATTGCTTCCCAGCTTGGCACAGTTGTTGGCCTTGGTACAGCACACCAAATGGCGAAATTTTTTAAAATCGGACATTAACCACGCACACATCCCATATAACAGTAATTTAGAGAAATAAAAAATACTCGATAAATCAGTAAGTATCAAAGCTAATTTCTTCAAAATTGATGCTTGCAACAACTCTTTACCAAGAAATACGTTTATGATACAATTTTGGAAAATGGGCGTGGCCTACTTATGATCACATATATGTATCTAGGTAACCGTTCAACCAATTTTTACCAAACTCAGTACGGTTATTGTGTTTGCCACATAAAAGCAAAACGTTGAAAATTATTAAAATCGTACTAAAATTACGTCGCTTTTCATATAACGGTATATTTCAGAAATGCTTGAAACTTCCATATTTCGAAATTTAAGGCGCTAATTAACTCAAAATGGATACACCCCGGTTTACCATGTAGCGGTAGCTTTCGGAAAGGTGAAAAACATATATTTAATACTTGCGCCGGGTAGTTATGTGCGGCTCCGCCGGAACTTAGACTTTCTTACTTGTTTGAGCTAACTTGACTGGGCTAAAAGTATTCAAATGGCATGGGAAATTGTTGCCGAAGAAAGATTAAACAAACTTTTTTCTAACAGTTTCCAAACTTATTTATTACCATAGAGGATGAAAATTTTTTGAATTTGCTTTCAAATTTCTATGTAGAAAGTTTGAAACTTGCGTTTATATTATTTTTGTTGAAGAATGTCGTTTTTGTTTGGAAATTACCCTTTTATGAAAAAAATTCAAACGTTAACCTTTAACTGTGGACAAGGGGTCTGACAGACGTTCCGTGCTTTTAAATTTCTGAGAATTGCGCTATTCTCTCTTAGCATGCCGCCGAGCATTCTGCTAGCTTCAAATTTAGTTTCCAAACGACCGTCCCTGAAGGAAGTTTCGTTGTTCGGTGTATATTAGGCAAGTTATATCTATGCAAAGTTCTGACGGAGTCTGTGAGACCCCACGTCCACGTTTATCATACGAGTAACATTTACATAGAATTTAAATTGGTTTTAGATTATTTCATTTATAATGGAAGAAGATATTATACCAAGTTCGTCTGGCGTAAAAACAATGCCGGGAAAAAAGTATGATCCGCCGCCAAGAAAAACACGTTTCGAGGAAACCATAAACCAAATGTTATTGGAATCGGATTTACCAAGTGGTAAGAAAGAAGACATGCTATATGTAGAGGAAGGTTAGTTAAATCGGAGCCATGAGAGCGATGGGCAGAGCGACGCGTATGAAATGAGGGACGAAGTGATTGAGCATGAAAGCTCGAGCTGCAGTTCTCATAATGGGCCACTTTCGGAGCTAACGGAAACAAATTATTATTACGGTAACAACCGATACAAGTGGTCTAAAAAGCCACCGTCCCGTCGGGTACGAACACCTCAACACAACATATGAACAGTAAGACGGCATATATGTACATACGTACATGTGTAGCATGCAATAAGCCAATATGTCTGCAATGTTCGAAGCCGCTCTGTACGGAATGCCAATAATTTTGGTTATTGTTGTTAACGTTGTTGTTGTTGTTGTTGTAGCTGTATACAAATTCCCCAAAGAGTCTGGGGAGTGATACTGGAGTAACAGTCCTTGGCCAGATGTACGCACATACATACATTTGGGGCGTTCCGGTTACGTAGACCCGACCGTCGTGGTAAGATTGACCAGTTGTCGATATTTTTTTTCTTTTGGTTTATAAAATTATTTTTATTATTTTTTTAATTTGTTATTATTAGACTTTAAAAGCATCCACACACCTCTGCGATTCTGTCGCAACGAATCCGCACCGTTTTTGATGCTACAGACGTTACTGTTTCGAAAACGCAAGTACGCACACATCTGTGCGATTTTATCGCAGCAAAAACTGTCAATTTATAGAAAAACAAAAAGTATTTTTTAACAAAAATAAAATTCTTAACTTTCTACATCAAATATGTTTTGTTTTCTTACGTTTAATTTTGTTTTAATATTGTAAAATCCTTCTATGGAACTTTTTCGTTCTCAAAACGCGGCAGTCTGCGATTTCGGCACGACCAAAAGATGAACTGTGAGTGGGGTGTTCCTCATTTAAAACTATGGTCGGAATTGTTGTAATTTTTGTCGGAACAGATTCGCACCGACAGAATCGCGTATGTGTGTGGATACTTTAAGAGAAAAGTGGATATTTTTTTTTATTTTACTTTGCGAAGTATAAAAATATTAATATCTCATGTCGAAAAAGACCGAAAAAGCTATGTCTGTTAATTTTGATAATATTTTTTAGCTTTTTAAAATAAAAATTAATTACTTAAACATTACATATTTTTATTTAAGAACCATTTATCACCCTCGTAGTCTTTGTTTATCAATTTTAATAGGAATTTCTATCAATTCGTGTCCGCAGATCTAGGAAAATATAAATATGTACTTCCAGTTTTTGAGTTACCAAACCAATATATCCAGTTTTCGCTTTTAAGACCACACAAATAAGTCAAACATTCCGCAATTAACGTGCGAAAGATGCACACGGGGCGCTGATAATAGCGATTAATGGAAAAAAGACCATCTACTTATTGTCATTTTACGTACAAACGTGTTAGCATGTGTCAATGAGATTAAATTACTTCGAATGAGCACGCAGTGGCAAGAATGTATGTGGATCAGGCATGGGCAGTGTTGGCAGAACTCCATATGCATGCGCAAAACTTTTGCACTTGTTTATGGAGTTCTGCCTGCGCTTTCCATCACTGATGTAGATATATATGAATACACACAAGTATGTACTAACATTCATGCTATGATAGAGACTATTGTGGAGACTGGTATTTAGATGAGCCATGAGTATACATAACGATAACTGTTACCTATAATCGGAATAGGAAAACGCATAAACTTTATACTCAGATAGTGACCCCCAAAACAGCTAACCAAAAATAATTTAAAAGTGACCGAAGCGAATAAGCGCAGTTTAGTTAAATTAATATCTAACGAACGAGCGCAAGACAAAAGTTGGGGTTCAGTGAGAGATTAGAAGTTAATACCAAAGCAAATTAACGCCAAAGTCACAGCAGATAGCAAGGTAGCGAAAATTTTATTTATAAAGGCACTTGGCCTCCATTGAAAATTGCCATAAAAATGGCTGCAAATGTGGCAGTAACTATAGCATACGGTAAATGAATGTTCTAGAATTTTCTAAACAAAAAAGTACCTGTCCGAAGATGTATCTTGATGTTTATTTCCAGTTTTATTGCAAGGCTGCTTCGCTCAGGAGGCTAAAGTTACGCTTCTCTCCACAACACTCTCATCAATAACATCGTCTGTAACAGTCGACACCTCCCTTATATCAGCAGCTGTTGGTATGAGACCTACATTGCCACTAGAAACTACGACAATTACCCCTACTCTCTCATCAGCAACGTTGGTATCAGCTTTAGCAATTCCGAACTTTTCAACTGTATCGAGTGAGATATTCCGACCAGTTACTCCACACTCATCTTCGCAAATTATTACTGGATCTCCGTTCACTGTAGATACGCATAAAACGTTTACTTTATTTACGGAACCTTCGCCATTACCATCAGTAGCGGCACCGTTTGAGTCAACAACTGCTTCTCGAACTCTTCCTATACTTTCCCCATTAGACATACTTCCACTGGCGCCAGTTTTAATAACTCGAAGTTCGGCATCTTCCGCAGCGCCAAAACCAGTTCACCAACAATCGCTAATGCACTCTGGCTCACGAGTACCGCAAGCATCTCCTCTGCCGCCAAAAGTAGTCGAAGCTACTTTTCAAATATCTTCGACATCTTCTGAACCACCTGCAGCGGATACTGGCACAGTGAGCGTGCCATCCATGGCGCCTTCTACAACAGTTCCTGCATCAATCGTGCTCACTTCAGGCTTATCTCCATCGGTAACAACTGATTTGGCTTCAACAATGCCTTCTTCTTCGCTTCTGGCAGCTTCTCCTTCATCTTCTCAACTGTTAAAGCTTGTCACGACGAATTCGCTTCCAACTAAGTTTGTTCCGTCATCCACGGCAACAACCGAGTCTACTCCAGCACCACTGAGCCTTTCTGAAACGGCCAAAAAGCTACCACGATTTGCTGGTTTAGATTTGAGCCCTTCATCTAGTGATTGTTCGACTACAAAACCAGTCGAGATTTTATCAACCAACACTTTTTCATCGCCCTCAACTAAATCCACTGGTCTACTAACTTCTGGACGTTCTATTGTATCTACGATTGGTGTTACAGTGAGTCCACTAGAGGTAAATTCAGCAAATCAGCCTCTTCCATCAGCCGCAAATACTTCTTTAGAAAATGGGCTTATAACTTCGTCAGCAACCTCGAGTACGCTTATTTCACTGCCTACTGCAATAACAACTTTGGCAGCTTAACCTTTTATACGACTCCACCAACTCCTGCTTCCTTAACTGGAATAATTTCAAATACTTCGACGCTTCCACTTGCGATCATCCATCCACTAACCAACCTGAACTAACCAAGCAGCCCGAAAATTTATCTTCATCTTCCTTACCTTCTATAATAACCACATTATTAATGCCTAGAATACTGGATAACTTATCTGTAACTACCACGGACAAGCCAAGGAAGTTACGAAAATATCCCAAGTTTAGATTTAAGGTATATCGTTTTCGTACTATAACAAATAAATTAGTAAAAGATATGTTGAAAAGGTCTGCTAAAGCTACCATAACACCTTCGGACTCCAACACTACATCAGTGCTTACAACTCCGGTGTCCTCGGCGTCTACTTACGCATCTTTACCGACAGCTACTGGCCTACCGCCTAATGACAAAGTAGCTGTCATTTCTTCAAACGGTTTCATAGAGCCTATACCAGGAATGCCACTAGATGGCGGAAACTTCTTTAATTATCTTACTAATTCACTGGTTGAGCATCGTAAGTTAACTTGATTATTTGGATATTTAGGTTTCGTTTTGTATTTTTATATTAATAAAATCATGTGTTTGAAAAAAATATCGAGTTTGATTACGGAACAAAAAAAAACATAAATCAATAATTCAGTCTCACAGCCGCACTCAGAAACGTTCATTAAATTAACTCTAACGGGCACTTAACTAATGATCTTTAAATCAGTTAATTATTGTTTTGCTCACAGAGTTAAAAATTATGAAGAGAAAAATTTAAGTTTGGCCCCAGTTGCGGCCCTATTTTGGTGGCATCACTCACTTTTTTCGTTCAGTTTGAAACCAATAAAATAAAAATAAGTATTTAAATATATATAGTTTTGCGCCGCACTGCCTCAAGAATGGTTGAGTGAGCCGAGCACTGACATGCCATTCGAGAGATCCGAGTTCGATCCTCGGCAACGTTTTTTTTTCTTTTTTTATTAAATTTTTTCTTTTCATTTTTACGTTTTATTGCTCGAAAAAAATAAATATTTTTTTATTTCATTTAATTTTTAGAAATTACTAAAAGACAAACAAAACCACTAACTCGCCAATTCTGGCGTCTGTCTTTCAACTCACTACAGTCTTTCGAAAGACAAAAGTCTTTATAGTCCGGCAATTATCTTAAAAGCTCTTTTCTGTATTTCGAATGACTAATTAAAAGATCTGCTAAAGAGGAGGATAGCGCTATTTTATTTGTCGTTTAGCAATAGGTTTTCTAAAAACTAAACGAAATAAAAAAAATATTTTTTTAAACAACAAAAATTGAAAATTTGAGAAAACTAAGTAAAATAAGAAAAAAATTAATTAATAGAGTTTCTAAACATTAAATAAAATAAAAAAATATTTATTTTTTAAGCAACAAAACGTAAAAATGAAAAAAATTCCATAAATAAGAAAAAAAATCCGTTTCCGAGGATCGAACTCGGATCTCTCGAATGGTACAAAAGTTCGCTGTCAGACATATGTACCTACATTAAGAACAAAAAATATTCCGATGAATGGAAGACTGTGTAAAAAAGTTTTGAATTCTTTTACTAAACCAGACATAGGTTATGCTGACTCTATGTGGCTTTGTAAAGAGAACAAAGGTCCATGACGAGACCAAAAAAATTACGACAAAATAATTGGCTAACACCTGGTATCAGGAGCTGAGTTGAAAAACATAGCAGTTTTCTTGGCAAACTGGAACTGCGCTCTCTTTCAGCAGCTGCTGCCTGCTACAAGGGTAAGTGTTGCAGCTTACTAAGGCCTGGACGCTCTCGGAGGATTTGCTTCACAGTCTTCTTATATGTATGTCCTGCATTTCCTGCACTACTTTTCATGACTCCGACCTAACTTCTCTACTCTACTACTCTGTTTGTACTTCAACTTTCATTTTAATAGATAAAAAAGAAACTTTTGTGAAATTTCTGTAATATGCTTTTCACATAGTATTACATGAATCTCTGCATATAAGACTACTATACTACGTATGTAAGTTAAAGTTTGGTGCCAAATACTGCCGCACCTACGCTAATTTTGAGCCCATCTGTTTGCCAGCCTCATACCCTTGCCTTTTGCCTTGAACCATATACAAAAAAAAATCTTTTCTGACTACTTTCAGCTTAATGAATGTAAAAAATTTTTTCCACTTACGTGGTCTACCGCAGAGATTGCCATTTTCTACTGCAGCCACGGCACACTTAATAATTGGTTCGCGAATAGTGACTCAACCTCCAACAATGAATTCACAACTCAAAATATTCATATACTTACATACTCTCCCAGTAACTCTTCGATTCTGCAAGCGTAATTAGTTTTCTGTACTCACCCTATAAAATCCTTCTCAATCATCCACCAATTGGCATCTAAATTACAACTGTCAATTGCTTTCTTTCAATAAATGCTATTGCGCACTAATGACGTTAATGTCAATATTGACATTGCAAACATCATACGCGCCCCGAGCTTTGACATCAGCGCGACACTTGCAAACGCGTTGCAACACAAACGTTGGATAATCGAAATGGCCAATTAAGACAAAAGCAACAAAAAAGGGGAAGAAACGCAAAATCGAAGCGTAAATTGAGCAACCAGTAGAATTTTTGGCTGCCACTTAAGGATTTGATATAATTTTCGCAACCATAAAAATGCAATGACGTGTTGCAAAGGGGCAAACAAGTAGTCTGTAGTGGATGTATGAATGACAGGAAGAGTACCAGGGTATTTGTGTAGATACAGGGGGTTTCAGCAGGGTTTCATTTCACAAAAGTGTCAGTCAAAGTTGATTTAAAATTAGTTTTGGCTAAAAAAAAAATACTCAAGCAGAAATTTTGTTCAAATCAGCTCTAAACCAAGAGGATGAAGGTATTTATTATAAACATATTATTGGGAATATTTTAATACTTTTCGTTGCCAGGAAAAAGCTTCCATTGTAGAGAATTCCTTTCCAATTTGAACGGAGCTTAAGGTTGTGCTCAATGACAATCTACCAAGAAGTCATTGGGCGCTATGTTCCATATTCGTTCCCAAAGGTTTATAAGTATAGACTTGTTATCCGTGGGTAATCGAATAGTATATGAGGCTTCCTTAGTTAGGCCACAACACCTGCAGAACGGGATCTATAAATCTCTTTGACATATGCCATTTAGCTGAATCTTGAAAGTCATCCTTACTTTTTCTTCGTGAGAGTATCAGAACTTTCGTAGCCATCAAAGCCCTCGTGCATGGAGTTCACCATTCTACGGTTTCCAACTTTATCCAGTCACTTTTCCAACTGCGACCTCTTTATATGAGTCCAAGGTTATTAATACTATCTGGCTGTTCCGCATAATGTTAACAGTGACACCATTAGGTCTTCTATGAAGACGTTCGCGGGCATTGATTTCAATTACAAAAATTTCCACATTTAATATATTAACATACACACTTAGTTGGGTGTGTGCCCATTGGTATAGTTTTCTAAAACCTGTGTCTAAATACGGTGACCCGAGTATACTAGAAAATTTGCTCAATTTTGGACTTACAATATCACGCTGAAGAATTCAAATCAGTTCGTTTATGAAGGGTTTCAGTTTTTCACACAGTATTGCCTTATGAGTACTTAACATAAAAAGGTTTATCCTGCGAGAATTGGCGCATACAAAATGGCATCCTCCTTCTTGTGGATTAGACAAAATGCACTTATAATCCAATCCACAGGCATGTACGTATTATACCAAATCGTGTGTTCAACCCTTCGCCGCCAGCTCAGCCTGTTATCTCCTAGTCTTGGTGGGGAGAGGCATACAAGCATTACGTCTAATATATAGGTTTAGGTTCTGCTTTATTGAATGCGCCACCGGTGTTTCCATTCAGATGTATTCTGATGGTACTTTACACGATTTACATCTTCAACTCAGTAGGAACTAGACCGGCCGTATAACTATTCGCTTGTTGCCTTATTTTCGCCCGCATTACTGCCTGCCAACGGCACCCACGTGCGGCTGTCCCTCATTTATTTATTTGGAAAAGATATATCTTCACTTTCCTCTTCTATTAGTGCCGTAGCACTGTTGCTCGCTAGCTATTGGCTGCAGGTTGGCTTTGTATGCTGCGTATTTATCTTCTCCGCCTCGTTTCTGAGCTGCTATGCAGCGATATGAACAGGCTGGGAGATCGAATCACACTGATCATTTATATTCGAGCGTTGAGGAGTTGCTTGCTTTAGAAGAATTGAGAGTCGGTTTTTACAGACTGCTGCTCTTGGCGTCGAATATTCGTTGCCTTGGTTCTTCATTGCGTCAATACCCATGCGGTCCCTAGCTGCAACAAGCTAAAGATCCGAGTCGATAATGGCTCCTCGGATGGAAATCACGTTACACTGAAAATAAATACTGCGTAAGTATAACGAAAACTTGCGTACCTCTTACGAAATTTTTCGTCATTTTGAGCAACGAAAGTTTTCATTAATTATACAAAACCATTTTCGTACATTCTACGAAAATATGAGACATCAGATCTTGAGTATTCTTTACGAATGCGTTCGTACTATTTACTAAAGATTTTCGTTTTATTTATTTTTATTTTTTTTTTTACGAAATTTTTGCAAAATGTACAAAATAATTCGCATATTTAACGAAATTTTTTTCGTAAACCTGCGGTTGTTGCGCCACACTGCAAAAACATAGTGCGAGTTATAACAAAACACTTTCATTCTATTCTTATGGCAAATTTTAAGCATTTTTGTTTAACAAAATGTTTTGAAAAAGAAAACGCTTAACATTAATGATCAAAATAAAATGAAAGTGTTGTGTTATCATTTGAGCTATGACTTTTATAGTCTGTGGGTAGGCGTATACTTTCCATCTGCAAATAAAAAATGAAAATTTGCAAACTTGTTTAGAATATCCAAAAACCTGTATATGACAGCTAAATTTTATTTGTAAAATACGGCTATTGAGAGATAAATGCGCTATTCATACGCCCGTAATTTTATGGTGCATTTTCGTTACAAAAAAAAAAAAGAAAAAAAGGCCGTTGGTTCTCTTTTACACTGGAGTGCAATTCATACAGTTTAGATTTAAATAAATATTCATTATTTTTAATTTGTATTCCGATTGGAGGCCGCTGTGGTGTAATGGTTAACAGTGCGCTCTACCATTCGGCATGGCGTGGGTTTGAGTCCAGTTTCCGACCAACATCAAAAAAACAATGACTATTATCAAAATAAAATTGAAAAAATCAATGAGTTTATCAAGGACCTAATTTCTGGTTCCGAATAAGAAAACGAAATCAGGCTCAATCTACGCATTACACAATTACATTACTAGCACGTAATTTATTCCAATTACAATATGAAATTCCTTGTAATGGAATTAAAAAAAAACAATTCCATTTGAAATTACTTCAAGGCATTGAGAAAGTAATCGCTTTCTTTGCTGAGAACTGAAGGAGTTGATTCCTTATTACAATTACTGAAGAATGTAATTGTAATTGTAATGTAATTGAATTTACCCAGCTCTGCTTACAGCAGCGAACAG